GAAAAGACCAATCCCTAGTTTCTTGCTCGTTGTTTTATGGAAGTCAGCACACTGAACGAGCAGTAGCTTACAAAATTACGTTTTCAAGTGTAAAATTTTACCTATGGGTTAAACGACTATTTGACATTGACTTTGAAATATTCTGTATAATATATTTATTTGTAATTCCCTTAACTTGCTAATCGTTACCAATTCTTCGACCATTCACCTCCACACCGTATCTAATCCAATATAAGATTGAATAACAGATACGCTCCTAGATAACTCAATAATAGAGTTGATGATTTCGTTGTCCCCAGAGAGAAATGTGGCTTTTCTGGGATAGGCGTAAATAATACCTTATCAATATTACATTTAACTGATATCGCACCCTGAATAATGCAAACCATTTGCTGGAAACAGGACAAAAATAACTGAAATTAACTTCATAATCCCAAGATCCTTTCTACGTCATCACTATAGTACGTCAAGCTGTTGAAATTAAAAAACTTCAATCGAGAAGACGGTTTTTAACTTTCATCGTCGTGGGATCGAGTTATCAGCAAATGTAAACGACATCAAGTATCGCATAAGTATGTTGTGTGTCGGTCTAATGACAACCCTCGTGCACAAATAAATAATGAAGACCGAGTGCGAGTAGTTACAAAATCTCGCACGGCTAGATGTTGACACCCGCTTCTTCATTCCCTTCGAGACTATGGACATTGCTATACGTCCGAAGCGTCGAGGTAATTAAAATATATGTTTTATAGATGATTACGTTCCACACTAAAAATTAAATAATAGTGGAGTTAATTCACAAAAAATACACGAATATAAAAATATATAATTAAATATAAATCAATGTTACTTATTTTCAGAGAAGTAAACAACTTGGAGCATTTCTTAAGAACAAGACTCCGAATGAGAATCACATTCCCACGGTCGCACATAACATGTGCCGTGATTGCCAAGAAACAACACCAATACTGCTAGACTAAGCGATTGGTTAAAGGCAACGTTGTATACGTTAAATATACGCGTTCAAGAGGCAATTCCTCTATTGGTGGTACGTAACTTCGCCAGACCACATGAAAGCGGCCGTTCGCTTTCTCCGACGCCCATCAATTTATATGAATGCTTCAAAGTAATGAGTACCGCATTCTGTATTAAGTAATGTTGCATTAGAGATATTTATAGCGAAACTAAATACGTAATTGTTCTATTGTACTCTAAGTGGCTGAATATAATTATCAATTAATAATAATGTAATGTGCTAGTAAACCACAATTAGACTGTGGTTCCACCAGAGACGGGCGAGTAGATAGGCGGGGTCTATTCTTCTTCTTCCTGTGCTTATCCCACGCTAGGTGGTGCCGGCACAACATGTATTTTTCTTCCATTCTCCCCTATCAGCCGACATTTCCATACTAACCTTATTCTGCGAGGAAAACATCTACCAACAGGATTACTTCATTTTCCTAGCCACTTTTTAGTCAATATTTTCCTCGCACACCGTCTAGCTACCTCGCTCGTCTCTGGTGGAATCGCAGCCTTACCTGGTCTCGGCCGGACCAGAAATTGTTCCTACGGAGAATCGAACCCGTGACTACCACTTCAAGGTTCCACAGTGTTAATCACTGGGCCACCGAGTTTAATGAGAGTTTGACGTGATAAATAACCTTCCATAAGAATAACAGCAAATGAAAAGCTTCTCAGAAAAATATAACAACAAAAATGGTTTTCTTGTTAGATCTTAAATAATTGTCATGCATTCACTTTGCGATACTGTTACACAATATAGTTACTATTACTATTTTAACTGGAACATGGCAAAAAATGGCAATTTTTCACGCCATATTTAGTCAATTATTAAATACGTTAGTTACGATACAACAATTATCTCTATAACAAAAAAAACTTAAGTTTGTAACAAATGTGTGTAATTAATTATGTGTTACAAATTACGATTACGCTATAGTTCGTGAGGAGAAAAATGGTATGGACACAACACATAGCAGGTAATATTTGTACCATATGGGTATATGTTGTTATGTCAAAGGCCGATGCGTCACCGACAGAAATACATTAAACATATCGAGCTCTAACGGTAGACTTTGCTGTACTTACATCGGTGATTAAAAGCAAACATTCTTAGCAACTCAATTGGATAAATCTACATCAAACACCTAGGTAACGCCAACTCGAGATTTCAGGCAAGTAAATAAGATTTAGCCGAAAATTGGAACACGAAGGCTTAGAATTTAAAACCCGTTTCAAGGCGAAATCCACCTACACGAGATTTACCTGGCCCACCTTCGACCAATCACAACGTGTGCCCTAATCAATGTCTTTTTTTAAACACGTTAGCTCATTCATCATATCTCAATAGTCAACTCGCAAATGATATTGTGACTCGTATACCGACTTACGTATTTAGTATGTATTACGTTAATAACGTACCGCAATACTGAGTAAATTCCGCTACCGAGATAAACGTCGTTGTAATTATATAGATGAATATAATTACGACAAAGAACATGATCGCCGATAGCTATACTAAATACAGATTCCAAAAACAGTTTCCTATTTCACACGGTGGTTGAGCGTAATCCACTGTTTATTAATAAAATTCAATCACTCCTAACGATTTCAAAACTTTAGATCGTTCGGCAAGCTCTACTTATCGTCGCGCATCGAATTTGTATAAGCAATCAAATGATCCACTAATCAAAGCAATTTTCACAATAATAAAAGAGTATTAATTACAGTTGATTTCACTTTGCAATAGCCTATTGCTACTGGAATTGATAAACATGAAAATCATAAAAAAGATTGAAATCTTAATGTAATCGGTAGCAAGGACTAACAAATCAAAAACACATTAAATAATATGCAATCTCTGGTTGGAGATGCAGTAAATTTAACAACCAACCTTCCGACAAGGTGATTCCAATGATAATATTGCAAAATCCTCGCTGGGCCTGCGTGGGGCAAATGTAACAAGGCCTGTGCCTTTTAAGAGAGTCGTGGGCGGAAGTGTGCACAACAACAGTGCTACCACAATGCGACGATGGCGCAAGAAACCGGTACGGCATTTCCAGTTCTGCGGACACCTGATAGTTAAAGGTGTAAGTGCGTTCTTGTTAGGGAGACTGGTCCAGTTTCTAACTGAATGAGAGTGCACAATAAGAGACACACTCCAACTGTATAACACAAATGATTTAAAAGATTTTCCAGTCGCTAGCAGACCATACTAAACCATTGCTATAATTATAATGTTTAGTAGTTTGAGAATATTACTCAAGAGATAAACAAGTTGGTTCATTTACGTATTTAAAGGGAATTCCAATAGTTCAAGTAGTTGCTTAACTGGTTTAGGTCCACCTGCAGAGCCGCACAGGTGTGGACTGGCGACAGATAACGTTTTCCGAATGCTGAGAAATTTTAGTGTCCTTGGGCAAAAATATTAGTCAACTTCTAACATTTGTGACAATAAAGCGTTTAAACTTTTCAGTGATTATCCTTGGTTTTTCAAAGGCTATAAAAGATATGCAAAACAACATTCTGCGCTACGCTACACTTTTGTAGCGTAGCAAGTTGCAATTTGTCCACGAAATGAATTGCGAAAGTGAGACATTGAGACTGCTTATTCAAATCGGGTATTATCGAGAACAATCGACTGGGGAAAGAAACCGCTCAAACAATCGGTTTGAATTACCCCTGGCATCTTTCAATTCCATCAGCAGTTATCAGCGCATCGCCGTGGATTGAATTTCTACGCACCGCGGCGCACGTATTGTGTTGTTTATTGGGATATTTCACGTTAGCATTTTAAACCTGGAGATGACTTTCATATTCTTTAACAACGAGAACTGTGAAGACTAGGTTTATAAAGAATTTTAACCCGTTGGGAACGAAACCAGTTCTCAAGGCAGTAGCGAGGAAATCCAGCCAAGCGGTACTGCTAATAATTTGCTATCACAATTTATCTATGGGATTCGTGCGGTAAATCGTGCTTGAAAAGCTTCACAGGTATGCAGACCGCTCATAAGTGCACTGTCTTGTATCGTTGAGCAACTGGAACACTTCAATTTAATTTGCGATGAGACTCGTCATTTTCCCCATTAATTTGAACAGGTAAAAAGCGAGTAAGCGTCAACAGATCTGGGTCGGTAGCCACTGAGCTCCTTTCGCGGGCGGAGACCAACGAGCCGTGATCGTAGAGCCACTGACACGGTCTGATGACCCAACCTTGGCCGTATCCCATATATTCCTGAACATGACATCACTATTTAAAAAACACAATACATAGTTTCATGTGGCCAAGGGCAAAATTCCGATCGATGCGGACGCGTCGAAATAATCAAAAGGAAAGTTGGGTTAATGACCCGCCACTAGACGGCTAACACCATAAACTAATGTGAATTTCACATGTTCTTTTTTTAGCATCCAAAATAGGTTGATGGGACTTAACGACACTAATCTCGTTACGACACGTTAAATCAAAATATGAAGTTATTGGACTAATCATTATTCACATCGAATTTTTTGCAGCAGTGGTAGCAATTGCGAATGGACAAGAGCTGGCATTCTCGAGAGGTGTAACACGTAACTTTCTAAAGCTTTGTGCTGATAAATTGCGTTGGACTGATATAATACTAGCTACAACGATATCCGGCATTGCGTTTTAAATTTTTTGCTTAAACTATGCTATCGGTAGTGGTTAAACAAATAACGGTCGCTTGTACGTTCAGATTACGGATCATCTTCAGGAATATTCGCAAGCGACAAGTCATTATAGTCAACATTCCATACTCATAACGATTCCAAGTGCCACAACGTAACAGTGCTTAATTCACAGCTGTACACACGAGATTAACTATCTAGAAGTGGAATTTATATCATTACGCGTACGTTTGTGTCGGAAAAAATGAATCATTTTTTTACGAAACTTTCGTGTTTGTGATTTACGTTTAAATATAAAGAGAAAATCTTGAACATTCATAGGTAAATCTCACCGAAACAGCGACGGAAGTGCTTGGGGCTGCGCCCACCTCTTCAACATCATGTTGGCCTTCCGGAGCGCTCAGAAAACGGCGCAACGTGCCGTATCCAGACGCCGAGGCCACCATCGCGACCATAGTACACAGCACAGCACAAGCACACGCAATCCGAGTTCCAAAAACTATTACAACATTAGCCGCACGTATCCTAGTGACATCACTCAAGGTGTGCGCGCACGCGACCTGCGCGCGAGACGCGACTCTACTGTGCGCGATGCTAAGAGCTTCACGCGCCCCCCTACCGACTATGACAAACTTTAGATAACTCTGTTTGGTTTTTACTTCCGCCGTTTGAGGGAAATCAGGTAACATTAAAATGTGCCTTCATCTTCAAAATATACAATAGTTATAAAAGTTTTTAAAGCTTTTTTAAAGTTTATATTAGCAGGTTTAATTAATAGCTGACAATTGGTTTAGCCTGTAGGGTTTAATTATTGGTTAAATACACCTTCATGTCTTTTATCTTTGAGTTTGCCCTTAGTATTGTTGTCATAGGAAGTATAGCATCTAACAAGACCTTATTGGTATAGTTTTGATTTGTAAATGATACTTAAGTGGCATCAATTTGCATGACTCATCTAATACATGGTTTCTTATGGACTGTAGTACAATAAAATAATCAACTTCATTGCTTTGACCGTCATATACAAGCAATTTATAATTATTTTCTTTAAGATAAACATGTTTAAAGAGCTAATTATTATTATTTTATGTATAACATTAGTGAATTAGTAAATAGTGTTAAATAAAAAAAAAAATACTTTTAACATGAAATCATACAATTCATTTATTATCACTACAGAAGTCTTAGGATAATAAACTATGACACATAATATTTAGTGACAAATTTTTAAATGTTTCAAATAATTGCAAAAATCATGCGCATTTAATCATTTACATGGTAATATAGTTGTTGTGGCCACAGGCCAGCACTAACTTGGTTCTGAGCATGATGAAGTATGACCTGAGGGTCAGGTTGTTCTGTCCTTATGTGCATCATGTGCACAATAGCTTGCTAAATTGTAATTTTAATGTAATTATTTTTTTATTTTGTCTTTACAAATACAGGTGGTAAGATATTTAATCTGCCAATTCATTTAGATATATCAATTGCCTAAAATTAAAATTGTTATTAATAATAATAATATAATGTTTGCACTATATAAAAATAGTTGTTACCATCTACTTCTATGCTATGGAGATATTTCATCATCAGTATTGAATTTGTGAAGTACAACATAATGTATTACAAATATAACGTTCAAATTATATTTAAAAAATATGTAAACTGATACATTTCACTGTTAAATTCTCTCTATTCACTATAGCATCTGAGTGAAGAGCGGAGACTTCGGAACTCCAAAACACGTTACAAAAAGCATCAACAAATAAACATAAACACCTATATATGCATACACATAAATGTCAAGATAGGCCACTTGGCAAGAATGGACAAGCTTAGTAGAAGAAATCTTCCAGTATAAGTTGTTGCTGAAGGTCTCTGGTTTGATCGGATAGGCAACCGTATGAGAAACCAAACCGAAAAAGATAATTAGCAAAGAATTCCATCAATAAAGTGAATTAAATAATTCAATCTGATCTCATCGACAAAACCAAGAAACAAAGGCCACCTACCTGACTATGACATGTATGGCACATAGCTATGGTCTGGTCTAATAAACAAATAATTTATTCTGCAGAGTGTGGGTGCCTACCACTTCGCCCACAAACTGCCTTGGGCCGTTGTGGTTTAACTAAAAATTGACACTGTCACTTTTATATCATTCTACACTAATTTACAAGTCCTACACCTACTATAAGCCTGTGGTGACTTAAGAATAGTGTTGTAGTAGTCATTTTTAGTGCACAAGGAAAAATATCACGATTTTATTACGAATAACGATGGTTTCTAATTCACAGGCATAAAGAAAACAGATGCAAGTGTCGTCAACACTGTAATGCAAATACTGCGAATACCGGGTCAGCATGAGCGGGCGAAGTGGAAATTGTTAATAACCGGCAATTATACTAGCAGGACTCACCTGTTTTGTATCCGTAGTGTCTGTGGCCTCCATGTTGGCATGTAAACGCTCCTGCCTCTGCATGACGTCGAAAACATCAGAATTCTTTATACCATTCACTTGGAATTACAAAACCACACAATACCAGCATAAACATAACAATCGCGACGGACTCTGCAATTTCTACCGAAACAGTGTCAATGGTCGCACCAAACACGTTCCGAGGTCCCAAGCCCTATTTGTCAACGGAAACGGTTAACAGGCTACAGAATCACAGAATGAGAAGCATTTTTATTACACTAACAGGGAAACGAAAAGTCAACGTAAATTCCCTTGGAGAAGATATGAAAAACACTGTTCTTCACCATCTTAAAAATTTCACACATTCCGTCATCGAGGCCCGATTTTGACGGTCGCTGCCCTAATGAAACGTTCCAACTAACGAATTAGCTATGAAAAATATTTTTGCGATTTTTGTCTAAGAACTGTCTGATTTAATAATTGCGTAAAATCTGGCATAAAAAGGTCACTCATTTGTAATAATTATTAAATAATGTAGGAATTATAACCAAAGAACACTTTTTTGGTCGATAATATTTTTGAAACGTATTAAAGATTTTAAGAAATGCGTAAAATGAAGTGTACTGGATTCGATAGTTACAGTATCGATAATTGAGTGTGCGTACGGTACATAAACCGGTAATTACCGGACATTGCAATTTAATCGATTATGATTTACTCGATTTCAAGCAGTAGTTTGTGCTAACACCGCCACTAATGTTAGTAAGAAACAGTTTGTAGCTGTAGAAAAGTAGAGCTGTGTAGTAACAAACTTATAAACAAAAAATCTAATAAAATTGCTGTGCTGTCATCGGAGCATAAAGTATGGGCAAAGAAAAAAAGGCAGTTAGTTTTGGTTTTGAGGGCCGTGGTTTTTGGTTTTGTTGGATTTTGTAAATAGGTTACGATATCATTTATCGTTATTTTGTCAAGGAAATAAACAAAATGCCGCGTGAAAAAAGCCGTTACCGGGACAGGCGTAGTTCCTCGTATAGTTCAGATTCATCATATGAGAAGAAAAAGAAGAGTAAGCACAAAAGACGCTCGAGGTCAAGAGATCGATCAGAGTCTAGCAATCACAAGAGAAAACGATCAACTTCTCGAACCAGACGTAAAAGGAGAAGCTATTCCAGAAGTACTTCGAGAGATCGTTATGAGAAATCTAGAAGAAGGTCTTCCCGGTCCCATTCTAAAAAGGATCGTTCACTCTCAAGGTCCAGTTCAAGAAGTCGATCTAAATATAGTAAAGCCAGCAAAAGGTCCCACAGGAGGTCCCGCTCTTCCGACAGCCGCTCCAGCTCGTTTGAAATAGGTAATAAACAACTGTATTCTGAAGACTTGAGTGATGTTTTGACCTCCCTTATGAAGCTGAATATAAGGTCTAAGAAAGGGCCTTTATTGTCAGCATATTTAGCAAGTGAGATGTTCTTTAATATTTGTACTTACAGCAAAATACTTAACTCTGTGATTAACAATTACAAAGGTTAGAATTAACTGTTAAATCATTGCAGTCAAATAAATCATTTACTATTGTACAAGCCTACTGATTATCTGGGTATTTCCTAAGGTAACTGTGCAGTGTAGGAGAGTTGCGCTGCACTGTTATGTGGCACTGCAGATGGGTTAATTTCAACAAGAAAAAAAAAGAGAAAAAAGATTTCAATCAGAAAACATGATATTCAATAACAAGTAGATTGGTGAAATACAGGCACATGGTATTGATGCGTGATTGTAAATGAATTCAATATTCGACTTGTTAGTAATCGCTAATCCTGTCATTCGTATATCATATTATAGTAACCTACTAATTTTGGTATTTGAATGATCATTGATTAATAATTAGTAGTACTAGTCCATAGTTTCCAAAGAGCATTTCTATTCATGATCATCTAGCCCATCTGACATGGTAAATGAATTTATTTATTTATTATTAATAAGCGAGCAGCTTGAAGCTGATATGCCTAAATCAAAGCTGTTGAATTTTTATAAAGTCTATGAATTCACAAATAGTTCTGAATCTTTTTGTAAAAGTCCACAAAACACTAGAACTGAAAGACCTAGAAGACACAAATTCTTCTTTTTTAACCAGCATTAACCACATCCTCAGGCAACCTGCTCCACTTTGAAACCTCTCTGTTGCCGAGGATTGGTAGGCAGTGTTGGTGAGGTGTTCCAATATAATAATCATTCAACTCATGCTTCCGACCGAATGGCATTAGGTATTGTTAATCATTTGACTTAGGCAAATGATTTGCCCATTCCAATGATTAGTATTAATAACATTCAATGTCACGCATCGCTAAGAAATGGTACTTGTCAACTTATGTCTCAGAGTGACGGGTGAAGTGGCACTGCCGCTAAAATTTTTGTGTTTTAAAGCTCTGAGTGGCACTGCAACTGTTATGTACAGGCGTGTAAGTTACCATCAGGTGCAGCACTTGTTCGTCCTGTCACTTGATATTCTTGTCCATTCATTTCAATTATCAATGAAGTAGTTTTTTTTGTCATTTCACATTAAATCAATCAACTTGCTATTGTCAGAAAATCTTGTTGAAGTAATCCCACATGCCACGCAACATAATGGTTACATAAACTGTCACTACTTGCATTTACCTCAGGAACTGACTCAGATGAGAGGTAGGTCTGTAGAAATAAATTGTAAAGTATCCTTCATGGTGAGAATGACTATCATATCGTATACATTTGTATGGTACTAGAGTGCATGTTAGTTAAGCATTTTTACTGATCAACTATCAATTATTAATAACACATACTGCTTTCCAGAGAAACCACTACCACCAAAGAGAATTAACCTAGATGATACTGAAATAATATTGGAGAAAGCAATTAAGGCTGCAGAAGCTGCCGGTCTGACTATGACGAAAATACCAACTTACACTTACAAAGAAGTGGAAATTAAAGAAGATATGCCCACGATCCATGATAGGAACCTACTAGCAGAACTTAATAGTGACTCTTTTGCTCCCAAATCATTTACTTCAAGTAGGAATAAAAAAGAATCAAAGAATATTGTAATTGACTTGAACACACAGACAGTAAAGATGCCTGAAACAGAAATAAAACAGAAAGATGATTCTATCATTGATTTTAACGTAAGTTATTGTTTTAAAGGCATTTTTCATTGTAAATTTCCGTTCCTGGAAATAGCTAATTTGAATGCTAGTTATGTTTTGAAATTTAATAAATACAAATTGTTAGGGATACCATGTCTCTAAGACGTGTCACAGGTTAATTCTGAATTTTAGAAATTGCTTTCATTTATTTAGCTTTATATGTTGGTAAGACATAGTTATATGAGAAATGTATATTTTTAGGAAATGCCAAGTGAGGAGGAACTCAAGGAGATGTGGATTAAAAAATTATACCAATACAGGAAGAGAATGCTCAAAGGAGACATATAATAAATGCACATAAACAATAATGCTGTGTTTATTAAACAACCCTATTGTTACAAACCAGGTGTTACAATCTCTAGAAATCAGTCGAGAAAAGTAATTTTAACACTCGCCATGTTCCAATATTATATTTTACATTTGTTCTTGTACTTCGAAACAAGTTTTATAATCTCTATATTTCTTAACAATATATAACTATGTTGTAGTTACTTTCAAACTAGATTGGAATAATTTCTATGTATCACTGTAGCTGATAAACGCATCCGATGCTGCAATACATGTACAATCTTATGTAACAACACTTAAGTGAAACAAGCAACAAACCTAAAATACATTTTATTGAACACATTAACAAAACTGTTACAGCGACTCCAATGCACAATCTGAAACATGCTGTACTACTATGTCATCTATATTTACATTAATGCAACTTAAATCACCCGCGAAGATCACATATTGTTTCTTTCTCGCTGGATCCGACTGCTATACGTCCGCGACACCAGGTTCCATGCGTCCATATATCTGTCCATACACATCGCTATACATTTCTGTTCGGAATTGTCCAACGCGGTCCCCGGCTTATTGATGCACTTTTTGAAGCATTTCTCTGACATCTTCGTAAGGAGCTCTTGTGCGTTTGCGATGGCAATCTGCTGTTTCACCTGGTCCATCAACTCCTCCTTTTGTGTGCCGCTCAACGAACCCGTCGATAAAGTATCCATGTTTCAATTGTAATAGGTTTCTAATTTATTGCAATACAATAATTAAATATTTTTAAAAAACTCGGTTGACACAAAAAATAACCTCAAATCTCGCCTGCTCCTTTGACAACAGTAATATTGCCATATATTTTAACTTCATTTCCCCACTTTTAATGCAGCTACGGAATACTCGACGTACGGAATGCACGAGATATCGCTCTTAATATTTTTTCTTAAACGCGGAATTATTGAAAGAAGATTGCTAATGAATCTCTTTGATATATTTTTGTGTTGTTAAGGATACTTGAAAAAGTAGGATGTCAAAGTGTACACAAACACGTCAGTTGCTTGAAAACATGATTTTTTTATTTTTTACTAATTTTTTCTAGTACCAAATATATTACTATAGGGTATTCCAAAAGCCTTGGACATATTAGAAGGTAGATATGGTACACCAATTACAAAACCTATCAGTGCGGAGGCATCAACGTCTAAAAAAGTTGGAGACATTGCTAATAAAGAGTTTCTAGAACTAGATAGCATAATTTTAAGAAATCTTATAAGCAATATGACAGACGACATTGTCCAAAGACTTATGCGTTTCGAGTCTTCCAAAGAAGTGTGAGATGAGCTTAAGAGGTTGTTTGACGGAGATGATTCACTCTATGATAATTGCCAAAAGTTCTTCGAGTACTAGAAGAAACTGGAGGATAATATGGCAACGCACATTTCAAAGCTAAAGAATGTTTGGTTACATTTAAACAAAGAGATCACAAAGCTCGAAGGAAACCATTCTTTGCCGGAGGTAGTTCTGATTTGCAAGATCCTGGATACCTTATCAGAAGAATACGTCTCGTTCAAATCCAGTTGGCTGTTGATAACAACAAAGATAACAGTAGAAAGATAAAGTGCAACCACTGTGGTAAAGAAGGACACAAAGTACGAAAATCCGCAAAATGATTCACAGTGATGGACGACCATCCAAGCCAAGTTCGAATGCAAACATTGTGAGTAACATTGGTCTAATGATTGCTGGCACGTGCTTATATCCTGACAGAGATAGTTGGTATCTGGATAGTGGAGCTACTAGTCACGTCACATTTAGGAGAGATTTGTCCCATACGTTTGAGAAATTTGACAAAGCGCATACGGCAACGACAGCAACGGTGATAAAGTAGATGCCACTGGTAAAGGTGATATAAAATTGAAACCCAAAGTCGGAGATCATAAAGGAATCATAACCTTATGCGATGTATGGTGTGTACCGTCCTTACAGAAAAATCTGTTCTCAAAGCGAACGGCATAGTCAAAGTTACAGGTGAACGAAAAAACTCAATGTAAATAATGTAATGCCACCAGTAGCCGTCGAAGTCAATGTGCTGCTGACAAGCCAAGGTTCGTTACAGTTAATTAATTTCATGTAAAGAAGGTTATTGAAAGAGAACTCGGAATAAAGGTACCGAATAAAACTAAGGAGTTTTGTGAAGGTTGTAACTTCGGGAAGATGCACAGACGACTTTTCGGAACAAGGATTAGTTCGGTTGTACCTGCAGAAGTTTGCACTCAGACGTGTGTGACCCATTCCCATTCTCATACGAAGGATATTGTTACTACGTTCTATTTAAAGATGATTATAGTAAGTACCGCTATGTATACTTCATGAAACAGAAGTATGAGGTCTATTCAAAGCTTCAACTAATGTTAAAAGAAAGCAAGGTAGATGGTCATATCTTAAGAGAACTGTTAAGTGACAACGGCAGTGAATTTAATAACGAGAAAGTTCGATCGACACTACAAAAGTATGGCATAAAGCAAAGATTAGTCATGCTATATATGTTTCGCCACAACAAAATGGCTGCAGTGAAAGAGAGAATAGAATAGTCGTTGAAGCCGCTCGTGCCATAATGTACGCGCACGAAATACTGCCGACCGCATGTTGGGCAGAGCTCGTAAGTACTGCAGCATATGTACTTAATAGAACAGGATGCACTCCTGTAGATGGTAAATCACCATATGAATCATGGTACAATAAGTAACCAAAGATAAGTCATTTAAGAATAATCGGAAGTCCATGCTACGCACATGTACCCAAGCAGAAACGTTTCCTACGGATTATTGGGTAAGAAAGCGGAAAAATGTGTTTTAATTCGCTATGATGGTGATGATGGGTATCGCCTTCTAAAAATTAGCAAAGAAGGACTTCACTAGTACGTTCAAGAGACGTCGTATTTTTAGAGTCAGAAATCGGTAAGACGAATACGAAACAAAATATTGATTCGGTAAAGTCTGATGAAAATGATTCTGAAATTGAAATAAGTCTACGAATACCGGCGAATCCAATTGTAAGGGAGGAGAAGAGACAAACGATTCAAGATGTAAGGGAGGAAGAAAAAGAAAGTCCAGAAACTTTCGAAGAGTGTATGCCTCCTGAACCGTTCCAAGATGCACCTCACACAGATATGAGTACAATTAATGGAGAGTCATTTTCGGAAACTCAATATGAGTGTGATGAAGTTGATAACGTGGATAACAACCGGACATTACCAGAGCGAGTAGAAATAATGGATGACATTATGCCATATAGCGAAATAGAAAATGAAGGAAGGAGAACTCTTCGAGACAGATCATCGCTACGACCACTTGCTGGACTAGGTGACTACGTTATGTTGTCTGTAGATGATAGGTCTGAAATGGATGATCCTACAACATACAACGAATCATTGCAGAGTAAAAGCAAGGAGCATTGGTTAAAAGCAATGAAAAGTGAAATAAAGTCTTTATAAGATAATAAAACGTGGACTGTAGTTGACTTAAATATATTGGGCAGCATATATGGGTTAAAGCAATCACCAAGATGCTGGAATAAATGCATTGTAGATTATTTGAAATCAATTGGATTTCAACAAAGTCAAACAGATCCTTGCATATTTATCAGAAAAAGAGCACAGAATTAATTCTTCTTAGTATTTATTATATGTTGACGATGGTTTGGTAGCTGCAACACATCAAACGGATGCAGATAAGTCTACATCAGAGCTGAAGCGAAGGCTTAAGATAACCACAAAGCCTGCAAACTACAATCTGGGGTCGCAACTGCGATATAAAGATGATAGCTCTATAACCATTACGCAGAAGCACTACACAGAGAAGTTTTAGCTCATTTCGGTATGAATGCTGTAAATCAGTCACTACACCAATGATCAGAGATTCTGAACAAGGGCAGCCAGTTAAAGAGATTGTGGAAGAGAAGTCATAATATCCTTGTAGATATGCTGTTGGTGCCCTTGCTTATCTCATGATTGGAACGCGACCAGTTAATGCCTACGCCGTTAGTGTTATATCGTAAACTTTGGAAAACCCCTCCAAAGAGGATGTATTAAAGGTAAAGCGTATAATGCGTTATCTACAAGGTACATCAAGTTATGGTATAACACACAAAAATAATTTTGAGATGGGAATACTGGACTGCTACAGCGATTCTAATCACGGAGGAGATTTCAAAGATGGTTGTTCAACAAGTGGCATACTGTGTCTATATGCTGGCGGAGCAATAGCTTGGGCGAGTCGAAAGCAGACGTCAGTGGCTATATAAACGGCGAAACAGCACGCGAAATCGTGAGGCTGAAAACCCTATTTAATGAGATTTCTGTTCTAAAGCAAATTCCAATTTTGAAAGTTGATAATGATGCCGCAGTAAATCTAGCTCAAAATCCGGAACTGCAAAGGAGAACAAAGCACATAGCAATAAGACATTTCTATGTCAGAGAACTGGTTGCAGATGGAAAACTCCAAGTAAAGCGTGTGGGGGCAAACCTACAAAATGCAGATTCCCTAACGAAGCCTCTTAGTAGACCTTCGATAGCTTCCATTATGGACCAAATAGGTTTAGTTTGTTTGTGATTTTTTTAATTCATGAACTCCACAAAAAGGGAGGATATTGAAAGAAGATTGCTAATGAATCTCTTTGATATGGTTTTGTGTTGTTATGGAGACATGAAAAACTAGGATGTCAAAGTGTACAATAAAAACACGTCAATTGCTTAAAAACATGAATTTTTTATTTGTTACTAATTTTTCCTGCAACAGGAATATCGTTTTATGTGAAGGGCGTATATGTCTGTGGGCGTACTACGTTTATGTTGTTCGATTTCTCCCGTAAGGCGAATCACCGGAAGAGAAGCGGTAATAACTGTTTTGCTAGATCAAATGGTTACCTAAACCATTTGATCTTAGTTACTATTAAATAACGCTCTTACAAAAAATGTATGTATGATATACCTAAGGACATTGCCAAAAAATGTGCTAATGTTTTACACGATAATAGGCTAAAATTAAAGTCTAAAACGAATTATTGAAGAATAAAATATCCAACTTTGTACATATTTTTTATATGGAGATATTTCTCTATAAGTACTACATAGAACCAGCTAAATTTTGGTTTTCAACTGAAGCCTTGATAATTATTAAAGTAATATTTATCCCAAAATTTGCTAATTATGCAGTGGTTTAACGATGCGCCGTGACGCCTGCTGCCCCATCAGTTGATGTTGGGCGCTCGCTTGTCGACGTATTAGCGTCTCATTTTTCAGACAACCGAAAACATTTACAAATACAAATTCCAAAGGGTTCATCAACACTGTGTATTCGAAAGACCTGAGTTACATTGAATAAATTCTGTTAAAGATTGCAACTGACCGAAATTTGTTCGTAATGTAACCTTCCCGGCGAGATTGATACGTTACGGAATTTGCCAACTAACCGGTTTCATTCAAATTCAAATTCAAATTCAAAATAATCTTTATTTCATAGGTAAGCATTATTACACTTGAAATCGTCACAATGGTTAAACTCTACCGCTCATTCGTAAGGCAGATTCCCCTGAGAAGAATGAGCAAGAAACTCTAGGGGTTGCTCTTTGTAAATAACATTTACAATATTTTTTTATTTGAAACATCAGATTGAAACTACCTCCATGAGCTAAATGGGTTACTACCACGGATTTTTGTCATCCAAGTACGCAGAAGTTGTATAATAACCTTTAGTATAAAGTTTTTGTTTCACTATAGTTTTAAACCTCGTGAAA